TGGGGCGGGGGGCGGGGGCTATTGTATTACATCTTTGTAAGTGATACAGAGGCAGTGAATGGGGAGGCGGGTGGATGTGACACAGACGGGAAAGACTTGTGAAAGACTTGTGGGTTTCTTGGAGGAAGTGGGATCAGGCAAATTTAGAGGAAAGGAGATACATACAGCGTGCTCAAGGGCTTTAAGAGGCGATTACAGGGCCAACATAAAGGGCCCAGTCAGACTGTGGTAAGGGATAAGAATGGAAAGCTACCCGAGCCAGATCATGGGAAGCCTTGTACTGGGGAGATAGGTTGCTTCCTTCCATTTGCTTACTCTCCTTACCAAAAGAAAAATAATAACTTGGGTGTAGTCCACATCTCTGTTAGCCCTTTAATGCAGCCTCACTCCCACTTCCTTGGCCTAAAACCTGTATTTTTTTTTAAAAAAAATCATTTTTTATATGTTTCCATTTATTTTTGTTTAAATTAATTAATTTTTAGACATTTGTTTAGTGTGTCTTTCTGTGTGCATGTGTGCTTACACATGTGTATACATGCATGCATTGCATACTACAGCATGCCTGTAGAGGTTGGAGGACAACTTGCAGGAGTAGGTTCTCTCCTTCCACCATGTAGAGTCCAGGAATCAAACTCAGGTCATCCGGCTTGGCAGCAAACACCTTTACCCACTGAGCCATTTCACTGTCTCACTGGTCGCTAAAGGCTGTCTTTTGAAAATCATTTCATGGATGCACACAAGCACAAACACTACATTTCCTGCACACATCTTAAGGTCTCCAAGATTGCAAAAAGATAATAACTAGTGTCTGTACATGAGCTACCCAGGAGGGCTAGAGTGAACATTCTTAAAATGTAGTTTACAAGTCTTGACATCCAGAATCCATTTCTTCTGATAGTAATCTATAATGCTGCCAATGCTCTTGTCCCAAGGAGAAGAGTGGGGATAATGGGAAAGCACAGGGAACCAGTGCCACTTCATCAAGGTCATTCACAAAGCAAGGTTTGGGTTCACATTAGTTTGGGCAGGCAGACTCTAGGCAAGTCCAGGGTCTCACAGCTGCCCATCTTGCCTCTCTTAACAGTTTCAGGTGGTTTCTTTTTTGTTGTTTCTCCTCCTCTTCCATCATCATCATCATCATCATCATCATCATCATCATCATCATCATGTAAATCGTGAAGTAATCGCCACAACACACAGAAAGAGTCCAGCAAAGTAGAGTTTAATGGAGGGTTGCAGGGGATGGCTCTCAGGTGGGAGGTGAGAAGCAGTCACTGGTTTGTGGGCTGTTGGCAGGAGGTTCTTACAGGGTTTAGGGAATTTGGAAGGCAGGAAAAATAATTTGAGCAGTTTCTCAAGGAAGTAGAGTCTGGAGCTTATCAGGGGAAAGCAGCCTCTGCTGAGACAGCTTCTTACCTCAACCAGGTCTTGGGTCATGGGAGTAAGGCGGTCTCTTTGTCTTCTAAACTTATCTGAAGGAAGCAGCTTGTACCGAGGCAGCTCCTACATGGTCAGTGTAACCGCTAACTCGGTTCGGGCTTTCCAAGGGGCCCTCAGACCCTGTGTCTCTCATCCGGGGTGAGAGTGGACTGAAGAATCATAAAGATATCATGCCAGGTCAGGTTATAACCACGAGTTATATATTTAGAGTCTTGTATGAAGCGTGTGGGGTCTGTGGAAAATGAGCCTATTCTGCATTTACGCTGAGACAAGTTGCCAAGGGAGAAAGGGACATGGACCTTAACAACTCCTTCTACCCCTGCCACTTCCCAGAAAGGAAAGACAGCATGGGTGGAGTGGGGGCTGAGACTGAGTATGGGAGCGAAATGTGGCAAGATAGGGAGATGGGGCAGGGTCTGGTGGAGGGAGGAGATGAAGGAGGCGCTGGAGTAGGGGAACTGGGCGGGGCGTCCTGCCACTTGGAGGCTTGGATGGGCAGGAAACGGAGCCTGAGATGGAGGTGGGAGTGGGAAGAGATGTGGGAGAGTACAGAGTGTTTAGCGAGGAGCTGTTTAAGACCTTGAATTTCGTGAAGTAAAGTTGAGGGGGGCGGTAAGTGACTTAGCACGGTGGGGCAGGGGAGAGGGAGAAGGCTGTGGAGAGAGAGTCTGAGGCAGAAAGCGGAGGAGCAGGGTTTGGTTCAGCTCCTCCTTCATCTCCCCCCTCGACCAGACCCTGCCCCATCTCCAGTATCTTGCCACATTCGCTCCCATACTCAGTCTCAGCCCCACTCCACCCATGGTGTCTTTCCTTTCTGGAAAGTGGCAGGGGTAGAAGGAGTTGTTAAGGTCCATGCACCTTTCTCCCTTGGCAACTTTGGTTCAGGGATGGGGGAGGGGGAGAGGAGGTTGGTGTGCGGGAGAGGCTGGGTGCTGCTGACTGAAGGGAAGGGGGAGGTTGGGGTTTAGTAGGAGGCCGTTCGTTTGCCAGATTGGGATCAGAGGCTGAGGTGGGGAAATATGGCGGGGGAGCGGAAGGTTCTGAGGTAGAAGGGTCAGGGTCACGTGGAACAGATTTGGCAAAGGAGGACCTGATGTGGGGGCAAGAAGTGCAGAGGGAAGGGCTGGTTTGAAGGTCAAAAAAGTCTTGAACATAAGGGAATTCAGACCTTTTGCCATTATGTTGGCAGAAGTTATCTAAATCTCGTAAGATATTGAAATGTAAGCTTCCTGCTTCTGGCCAGAGACATTGTCTAGTTTGTACTGTGGCCAGGCAGTGGTGCACAAAAATCTCAAGCGTTTTGGTCTGATTGTGTCAGAAAGTCCTAGTGGTTTTAGAGTCTGGAGGAGGCAGGCAAGAGGAGTGAGACCCTCAGGCTTAGACTAAGGCATTCCCATTTTGGCAAATTATGTAAACAGCAAGGAGAGAATAGACACGGGACTGAGCAGGTAGGTAAAAGGAGATGATGAGAATCCTCTCATCCTGAGGGGTGAAGTAAGGGATACCTGTGAGTATTCCAGGAAGGAGGGCTATAGATATAAGAAATAGAAGGGCAGGGGGGATGAGGAGAAAGTCATGAATTAGGAGGAGTGCAGGGCCAATGTTCAGGGAGGTGTCCCTCACTGGAGGAGGTTCTGGGAGGGAGGAGTGTCCCTGTCATCCTGTACTGGGGAGGGGAAAGGTATGTGGGGCTGTCTGATGCACCTATGGATGTCATGAGGCTCCAGAGAGTCCTTTGGAAGTGTGGCATGGTAAGAAAACAGAGAGAGAGAGAGAGAGAGAGAGAGAGAGAGAGAGAGAGAGAGAAAGAGAGAGAGACTGATCCATGAAGCCAAAGTCCACAAGGTTTACATAGAATACCAGTGTGACCTCAAAACAAAAGGCCTGCACCCCCGTGTAGGTAGTAGGCTACTAAGGTCTCTGGGACCCCTGGTCATGACGGGTAGCTAGAAAACCTAAGTTTAGCAGGCTGGGAGGGGTATGTGCTCCTTTGCAAGGACTAGGCACCGGACCAAGAGACTCTAAGAGAAAGGGCTTGAGAGTGACAGGTGGGCAGATCTACCCGCCAGGTGGGCTTAGGCAGAGCACAGTAACTGTGCCAGACACTCAGTGGGCGCAGAGACCAGTGCCACCCAGTGGCCGTGAGTTAGGTCCAGAGGTGACATTCAATTTAAATCAAATGGAAATGGAAAAGACTGGAGAGGAAGGAGAGAGAGAGAGAGAGAGAGAGAGAGAGAGAGAGAGAGAGAGGAGAGAGAGAGAGAGAGAGAGAGAGAGATGAAAAGGGAATGTACCTCAAAGCCAAATTGGTGGTGGCTGCAGGAGAGCCGGCAGCCAGTGGCTGGTCCGGCTGGAGTCCTTTACTGGCAACCTCCAGTCATGGCACCAAATTGTTAGGTAAATCAGGAAGGAATCGCCACACTGCAGGGGGTGACTCTCAGCTCAGGAGTGAGAAGCAGTCCCCAGTTTGTGGGCTGTTGGCAGGAGGTTCTTATAGGGTTTAGGGAATTCGGAAGGCAGGAAAAATAATTCGAGCAGTTTCTCAAGGAAGTAGGGTCTGGAGCTTATCAGGGGGAAGCAGCCTCTGCTGAGACAGCTTCTTACCTCAACCAGGTCTTGGGTCATGGGAGTAAGGGGGTCTCTTTGTCCTCTAAACTTTTCTGAAGGAAGCAGCTTGTTCTGAGGCAGCTCCTACATGGTCAGTGTAACAGCTGACTCAGTTCCTGCTTTCCAAGGGGCCCCCAGGGCTTGTCTTGTGAGGCTTGAAAAGCCTTGAGTCTTTGCTGTACTGAAGAGGGTGGCTGCAGACCTGGACTTTATCAATCTATTATTATTATTATTATTATTATTATTATTATTTTGAGACAGAGTCACTTACCTCCCTAGCTGGCCTCAAACTTTGTGGGTAGCTAGCTGGGAATGATCTTAAATATCTTATCCTCCTGCTTCTACCTTCTAAATACTGCAGAGTGCCACTACACCTGATTTATTTGGTGCTAGGAATTGAACCCACTGCTTCGTGCATACTAGGCAAACATTCTACCAAGTTACACCCTCCCTCTTCTCTTTCCCCTCTTCTTTTTTCTCTCTTCTTTCCTTTGATTTTGAGGCAAGCTGGCTTAGCGCTCACTGTGTAGCCTAGACTGGTCTCACATTTGTGTTGATCCTCAGGCCTCAGCCTTCATAGCGCTGTGATCATAGGCAAGCTTCACCACTCTCAGCTGGGCAGGGGGTTTCCTTTCTAGGTAAGGCCAAGTTCACTGCTGCCCACACCACCATGCTCTTCCTCCACCATTCATTGGCATTGGAGGTACTCCACTGGGGCTCAGGAGGCTTCATTAAAACCGCATGCCTTAAGGACACTCAGCAGATCTCTCATGGTAACCAGTGGGGCTCACACTGCCCTCCCACAAATAAGGAAGAGAGGCAGGAAGAGTTAAAAGAAAGTGGTGGGCAGGAGATTCTCAGAGCTCTTCGGTGAGGAGCTCACTTGGAACTGACTCGTGGCCCTTTACCAGCTGGATTACTGGACCGAGCCTCGTGATCAGGGGTGGGACGGTCTCTGAGCTTGGACCCGCGGCACCCCAGGAGGCCCCACTGGCCTGCCACCCCCAGAACAGCCCTCCCCGCGGGCGGAGACAGCAAGACAGAGTCGCCGCCCCGCCCTGCCGCCCGGCAGTACCCCGAGGCCGGCGCAGGTCCCCCAGTTCCGGAGCAGCCACGGCGCGGAGTATGGGGCTCTGATGGCCATGGACGGCTACCGGGGCTTCCTCGGGCTGCTGGTGTCGGCGCTGCTTGTCGGCTTCCTGTCGGTGCTCTTCGCGCTCGTCTGGGTCCTCCACTACCGAGAGGGGCTCGGCTGGGACGGCGGTTCGCTCGAGTTTAACTGGCACCCTGTGCTCGCGGTGACCGGCTTCGTCTTCATCCAGGGCATCGGTACTGGACCCTTGGCGGGGGCTAAGGGAAAGAAGGAGGGCGGCGGGCCGGGGGCTGCAGGTAACTCTGTGCGGCGGGGTCCTGGACGCCGTTCAGGTTCGCACAGAAACCCGAGGGATGCATGAGCTCAGCCCGGGCAGCCCCTTGTGGGGAAAGTCTCCCCACTGGGAGCCTGCGCAGTCAGGGGCGCAGAACCCCTGCTTAGGCGAGGCTTGCCCTTGAACATGCTTCATGCCTCTAAAGGAGAGAGTAAGGCGGTGGGGAAGGGCTCGCGTCTCCGCCCGGCATCCGCAGCCCGGGATCCTCTCCGTGGAACCCGAAGCCGCTGCTGGTAGCGAGGAGGCTGCTTCGCTGGCTGCCTGTGCTTGGGACCGTCTGGAGCAAAACTTGCTTATGTGGCGAAACTTCCTTGGCGGGCTTTCTGTGGAGCTGTGATCGCCCCTGCTTTCGGGTCGGAGAAGCCGGGAGAGGCCTCGGCGGCTAGGCCCCGAGGGGTGGTGGCAGCGGAGCGCCCTGGGGTCTGTGCCCGGCGCAGCTCGGTGCTTGCTGGCAGCGAGGAGGCCTGGATCTGGCTCCTAGCCCCGTGTGGTGTTTGTGCAATGGTCTAGGCGTCCCGAGGACAATTTCCTCCAGCAAGGCTGTAGTTGGAGGAACTTGTAGCTAGTGGCGCAGCAGCGTTTTCACTTCTTCGGAGTGGTGGCCTTGAGAATGTGTTTGAAAAAGAGCAGCGATGTACTGGGGTTAGTTCACAGAAACTAATGGAGAAGAGTGGAACAGGTTCCCAAAGACATGCCAACGCGCTGAAACCTCCAACCTGGTCTCTGAGCAGGATGCCGTTTCTTCATCAATATTGAACTCCCCACAAAAAAGCAAACATAGAAGCGCTGGCCTCATTCCTAAAGAAAAGCAATTGTCATGTAATACTCCCTCTCCACCCCCCTTCCTCCACCCCCTCTTTCAACTTGTGCTGTAGTGTTCAGCAAGTGTGGCCCCATTCTTCCACTGGAATATGGGGGAGGGTATTGCTGATGCTCAGCGTTGGGAAGCTTCCCTGGTGTGAGATGAGCATTCAAGTCATTCTGTTGCATAATTCCCAACTATTTGGCCACCACACTAAAACAAGAAAACTGCACTCAAGTTCCAAAGTTCCAGTCACCAGCAACACCCCTTGCTTCATGGAGGAGCCCTTTAATTTGACCAAAGCTGCTAACACCTGTTTACTCAAACAGTCCCAAATATCTCTTCATGACTTCATTCACCTAGAGAAGCTCCTGGTATCAAGAAACCCTTCAGAGATTTGGACTGTGTCCTGTAGTTGAGGGTGAGGGAAACAGATGACACATTTGTTGCCTAGCTTACCCAAGAGGAGACAAATCACAAAAGGGTTAACATTTATTGTTTTCTGTGTGCACTCCTGGTGCATTATATGAAAATTAACAGATACAGAGGACTTAACTTCCCCATGGAAGTAACAGAGGTTCTTTCAGTGACCTTATTTCCAATGCTTTCTATTTTGTGTGTTATTACGGCAATATGCTTACTTTTTGCAAAGTGATCCTTTTAGAGAAGCCAAAAGCTTCATCTAAAATATACTTTGAGACTTTTCATATTGGAATCTATTTCTATTTTCCTAAAAGTTTTTCTATTATCTCTAAACTTCTGGACTTTTCTGTTTATACTTACTTTGGGGCAAAAATGTGTGCATGGATATTTGGGAAATTTTCATCTGCCTCTCTTAGTCAAACCTTTTTTTTTTTTTAACACTTTGTCAGTATATTTGTGCTAATGTTCCAGTTTTTGTACTGTCAACACTACCCATCCTGTTTACAAGGATCCTAGGTTTGCAACACATTTAAATAACATGTCTAATTAACATGAGCAAGCTTTTTCATTTATGTAAACACATGCATAGTTCTCTCCAGTTCTTCTGTATCTTGGCCCACAGACACTCCTCTACCAAAGGGTGAGTCCTTTGGAAAATTTATGAAGTAAACTAAAGAAAGGGATTACAAAATAAATCTCTCCCCGCCCCACATACGTACAAAATATATTTTGGGAAACATATGCATTCTTTTTTCTTTTTCTTTTCTTTTCTTTTTTTTTTTTTTTTTTTTTTTTTTTTACACATGCTAGAAATCATTATACCACCAAGCTACATTCCTAGCCCCAAGTGTC